AGATGGTCCTAAACCAAACTAACAAAAATAAAATAAAATACAATAAAATAAAAAAACAGGATTTCTGTGCGTAAAAATCTGTTTCCGCCTCAGCGAGGAGAAACATAAACAAAATTTAAAAAAAATCTCCCTAAAAAGCAGAATTCAAAATAAAGTTCAAGATTTTTTGCAGAAATGAAAAACAAAATAACCAGTAAACAAATTATATATGTCACGCTGTTATTTTGTTATAAAGAAAATCGTATGTTTTACAGTGTAATTAAGACTAAACAAGTAAAAAAGCGCACGTGTTTTACGAAAACGTGGAGATCCTGATTGTGTTTAATTAAAAGAAAGAAAGAAAATTAACTCCGAGGTTCTCATGGCCAATTTCAAACCCAAGCACGTGATCTTGTAGTTTATAACATAGTTTTGTTCCAGGGTAAATCTGCAGGGCCTCCATAAAGCTTCAGTGCTTATAAAAGCGCTTATAAAAGCCTTTAAGAGCCGCGCTGGGCGGTTTCTCTTCCTCTGCTCCACTCACTGCTCTGCCTCTCCTCGCCGGTCCCGGACGCAGACTTGGGGCTGCAGCTCTCCGCAGCAGAGTCCGGGCTGAGCTGAGCCGGAGCCGGGCTCGTTTTGCCGCGCGTGTCCGTGTCCGCCTGCGCCGCCGTGGGAGGCGCGCCCGTGCCGCCGCCCCCGCCGCCGTACGCGGAGTCGAAGAACTGGTCGAACGCCTGCGGGAGGATCCCGTTCTTCCCGAGGCTGCCGCCGTGTAAGCCCGGGGCTTGACCCGAGGAGGAGCCGGAGCTGCTGCTGCTGCTGCTGCTGCTGCTGCTGCTCTTCACCAGGATCTCCGCCCCGCGGGAGGTCGGACTCGCCCAGCCGAGGTCCTCGGGGTAGCAGTGCGTCAAAGTCCCCCTGCTGTGGTGCCATTTACCGGGAGCCTCAATGCCATAGTCTCTGAAGGCCACCTCTCTGACGGAGGGGACCTGTGGCAGCGCCGCGGACTGGTACGGGTACGTGACCGGGCAGGAGGTCTGGCTCTGGGTTAAATAATGAGGGAGAGCCGAGAAGTCCGCTCCGGAGACGTAGTACGTGCAGCTCGGTAAATACATACTGGAGCCAGAAAKGCGCTCTTCAAAATCCATATTCTGCCGCTGGAGGAACGAGGAGAAACTTCAAAATAAAAGGCTCGAGCGTGATCCTGCCATTGGTGCTCCGCGGCGCCGCGCTGCGCCGCGCTGCGCTGCGCACAGAGGCAGGACTGCCGGAGCACGACTCCTCAGACGCGCACGCTGACGTGGGGATCCATTCCTGAGGGCCAAAGCCATGTGACCACTGGCACAATGTGACAGAAACCCGACGTCCCAACGTGTGGGCTGCAGGACCCAACGAGGTGCAGGAAAAGTCGAGCAAACAGGAAAAGGACCGAAAAAGGAGGATTTTTTTTCTTTTACACAGAACTATGA